CTGCTGGGTACGAGTCCATGTCTAGGCAGCTGGAGCCTGAGGCCTCCATTCTCAGCTTGCACCCTCTTGCTCTGACTCATGCAGCCAGAGGAATGGTACTCTGCTGGCCGTGGGCTTCTTGATACGCTTTCCTCTTGAGGAATGAGCCTGTCTGCCATTGTGACTACTGTGTTGGCAGCACCCCATCGTCTACCCCCTTACACATTTGCTGAGACCCAAGGGCTCCTGCCAGGCAACTACATTGTCCCGTACCACCTTTTGGCCGGATGAAGAGGAGGGTTTGACGGGTTCATTAATTTTCATTCTTGTAACAAAATACTTAAACAGAGACAATGTTTAATTTGGTTCCTGGTTTTAGAATTTTTGCTGGGGTCAGCTGATCCTATTGCTTAGAGCCTCTGGCAGGACAGCACAACATAGCTGGGACATGTGACCTTAAAGCAGCTCACCTCATCAAAGCTGGAGATTAGAGGAATAGAAAGGGGTTAAGGTCCCATCATTACCTTCAAAGGCATGTTCCCTATGCTGGATAGGTTGTTTTTGTTGTATTTTTTGTTTTATTTTATTTTATTTTTTTAACTTGACAAAGCTAGACTCATCAGAGAGAACCTCGATTGAGACACTGCCTCCATAAAATAGTGTTGGCAACCTCTAGGGCATTTTTTAAATTAGTGACTGATGTGGGAGGGACCAGCCCACTGTGGGTGATGCTACACCTGGGCTGGTGGTCCTGGGTACACAGAAGAAGGATGAACAAGCCACGAGGCACAAGCCAGCAAGCAGTATTTTCCACAGCCTCTGCATAAGCTTCTGAGTCCAGGTTCCGGCCTTATTTCCCTCAGTGATGGACTGCGCGACCTGGGAAGCATGAGCCAAGTGAACCCTTTCCTCCCCAAGTTGCTTGTGGCCATGGTGTTTCATCTGAGCAGTGGAAAGTCTAATACATTCCCCGGGCCTCTTTTCCTCTCAGGAGGCCCTCCCCCTGCCATTTCCCACCAAGCTTTCAACACATGGACCTTCAGAGCATACTTGAAATCCCAAACCGCAGCCACAGGGTAGGGTGGGGTGGGGTGGGGTTCTCATACCATAATTCAGAGCACAGTGTGAGCTCTGAGGCCTGGGGCAGATCCCATAAGGTCACACATATAAGTCATAGGTGATGCAGGATTCACATGCAGATCACCTTTTCTCATGATGGGCACGGCAGTGCACATCTGCAGTCCTAGCCACTAGGAAGGCTGAGGCAGGGGGATTCAGGTCAGCCTGGGCTATATAGTGAGAATCATTCATTCTCTGTCTCAGTAGAATGAAAGAAGCTCTGGGTTCAATCCCTAGCACCACATAAACTGAATGTGGTGGGGCACATCTGTAATTCCAGGACTTGGGAGCAACAGGTGGAAGCAGGAGGATCAGAAGGTCAAGGTCATCCTCAGATACATAGGGTGCTTGAGGCCAGCCTGGGCTACCTGAGATCCAGAGACCAAAATCCCCACATGACCAGGGATAGGCTTGCTGTGGAGTCATGGCAGAGACCTGAGAGACGCGCCACGGGGCAATGGAGTGTCAGGAGCCACCCCTGTTCCCAAAGGTCCTTGCTGGCCACAGGTCCTGGCCATCAGTGAGAGGCCAGTGAGCTGCTCATGCATTGGGCTGTCATGGCCAGAACATCTGGGGGAACATTACTTGTGTGCTTCAGGGCACTGGGCTGGCTGCAGAGCACCAGGGCAGCCAGAGAAGGCAAACAGATGATCTCCTGGGAGGTTGCTAAGAGCCCACCTGCCTAGGTCACCATGGCGCAGCCAGACACTGCTGTTTGGGGGCCAGACTGGGGCACCATCTGCAGCTCTGTGCTGCCCCTGTCGCCTGGGGCCCATTTCTGTTTGCTCAGTGATCTGTGTGGCAGCTTTTGCCAAGGCGTTTTTGTTTGGGGAGGCAGTGAGACAGTGTGGCGTGGTTCCTGCCTTGGTTTGTTGTCACCAGCAGCCCCTGATGGAGATGAAGCTCCTTAGTCAGCACACTGGTGCTTTTAGGTCAGGCCACCTGTTGCAGGCATTCATTTCAGTCCTAAACTCAGGAAATTGCCCAGGCACTCGGCTTCTCTGCAGCTGCCAGCACGGGAGGGCGGTTGAATAGGGATCTGGCCAGCTGATCCTGCATCCACAGCTGGTCTGAAGGCCAGGTCATGCAGGCTGTGCCTAGAGAGGCCCAGGGCTGGCACTGAGAGCCTGTGAAGACACAAGATTTGATTTAGGTAGTTCTCAGTGGAGAACAAGGTATAGGGAGATGGGGTTATTAAGAGGTGTGGAAATTGGGCGGTAGTGGCACGCACTTTAATCCTGTACTTGGAGGCAGAGGCAGTCGGATCTCTCAGTTAAAGGTTCTTACCACCTGGCTATTTGGCTATTTGTTTATTTGACAGGGAGTCAGGTAGCCCATGCTAGTCTCGGACTCATTGGTCCTTTTGCTTCCACCTCCGGAGTGCTAGGATGAGAGGGGTGACTCGCCATGCCTGATTTATAGGGGCTAGAGATTGAACCTGGGCCTCATGCCTGCCAGGCAAGTGCTCTAGCCAGTGGCGACATCCCCAGCTGTGGTCATGGTTTCCACTGAGTGTTAATTTGTAGCATAGCATTGCTTGTTTGTGATAATAGTAACCCTGAGAAAAAGAGAGAGTAGGCAGAGTGCTGTGTACCCAGCTCTGGGGGAGCAGAGGCAGGAGAATGCCGCAAGGGTCAGGCCGGTCCCTGCTGTGTTGAGACCCTGTCTGAAAAGCTAAAATGATGCAGTATGTGGTGACACCTTTAATGCCAACACTCAGAAAGCAGGGGCAAGCTGACCGTAAGTTCAAGGCCAGCCCAGTTTACAAAGCAAGTTCCAGGCCAGACAAGGCTATATAGTGAAATCCTGTTCTCTGAAACAAGCGGCCAAGCTAAGGGGCGGGGGAGGAGGCTCAGTGGGTAAAGTGCTTGCAGTGTAAGCATGGCTGTGGAGCCCCAGCATCCACGTAAAGGCTGTGCTCAGTGGTGCAGTCTGTAGCCCAGCGCCTGCAGGAGTGGGGACGGTGTGGTCTGTGACTCAGTGCCCCATGGGAGCGCGAGCAGCCAGCTCTCTGATGGGAGTAGGCCAGCTAGCCCAGCTTAAAATCACAACCTCTAGATCCAGTGAGAGGCCTCGTCTCAGGAAGGTGGAGGGTGCTAGAGGGGGACTCCTGACGTCAGTCACGCTTCCCACACACACCACACTCAACACACACATTGCACAGCACATAGCATACAGACTGCGTACTCCATTCCACATACACACCACACAGCATGCCTACATACCCCATAGACATACGCATAGTACATATCCTGCGATCCCCCACACGCCATAGACAGGTGCGCACTACACGTATCCCCAGTGACCGCACGCATGCCGCACACACCACTGTGCCCACACCATGCACACCGAGTCCACACACACACACACACGCCACGTTTACACTGCACCCTCAGATATTACACAGGCATACACAGGCCACATTACACACACACACACACACCACGCATACCACAGTGCAGGGTCACTCTGCTGTCATAAAACACGTGAGCAAAGCAACCTGGGGAGGAAAGGGTTGATTTGGCTTAAATGTTCATGTTACTTCCTCACTGAAGGAAGTCAGGGCGGGAACCTGGAGGCAGGAGCTGATGCTGAGGCCGTGGAGGGGTGCTGCCTAAGGCTTCCTTCTCATGGCTTGCTCAGCCTGCTGACTTGTAGAAGCCAGGACGCCAGCCCAGGGACGGCACCACCCACAATGGGCTGGGCCTCCCCTGTCAATCACTAGTTAGGAAACGCCCTACGGGCTTTTCTACAGCCTGATATTATGGAAGTATTCTCTCCATTGAGGCTTCCTCCTCTCTGATGACTCTAGTTTGTGTCAGGTTGACATAAAACCCCTACACATACCTATGCAATACATTCCACACGCACCACACACTTCATTCCATGTATGTTATACATAGTACATTATACACACCGTACACAGTTTGCACACATACGCCACATACACAACAAAATGAGAAAGAAAAGTAAAATTAAAAATTACTTTAGAGCCTGTGAGGCCCCCTGGGCAGAGGCACTTGACAAACCTGTCACCCTGAGTTTACTATCCAGTATCCATAAAGTGGAGGGGGAGCCAACTCCTGACAGCTGTCCTCCAACCTCAAGTGCACCATGATGTGCGTGCACACACACACACGCAGTGTACTATTTAAAGAGCCAAAGGGACTAGGCGGCCTAGTGCAGGCCTGAGGCTTGAGTATACCTGGGGTAGTCTGGGGTGCCCATGGCAGGGAGAGCTCTCAGCACTGAGCGGCCTCTGGAGGCCGCCATTCTCCTGCACTGAGGGTTAGGTCTTCCTGGGAGAAGGATTGGCTCAGCCAAACAGCATGGCTAGGTCTGTGGGGAGGCCCTAAAGCCTTTGGAAACTGCCTCTTGCATGGCCATGGTGGGGACATAGAGGATCCAGCCTGTGTCCTGTTCCACACTAGACTAACCAGGAAAAAGCTTTCCTGGAGCTCTAAGGAAGTACTCGGTGGCCCCCACCCCAGGGAAGGTCATGGAACACTCAGCTCCAGGCAGGGACTCTGGAAGCCTTGCTCACAGACAGTAGTACCAGGAGCATCTGTGTCCTTCCCCTGGGCTACCTGTCTAGGATGGCTACTAGAGTTGATGCCACTGATGGGCACAGAGGAAGGGCAGCCTTTCCTGACACTAGTGAGCTGTGAATTAGAGTGGGCATACTGTCTGGGGTCTATTCCAGTACCACATAAACCAGACGGTGAACCCACCACTTGGGAGGTGGAGGCAGGAGGATCAGAAGTTCATGGTCAGCCACAGTACAGAGGGAGTTAAAGGCTAGCCTGGGCTACATGAGTCTTCCCCACCCGCTTCCACCTCCCTGCAGAGCTGCAGAGCCTGCCTGTCCTTCCTCTCACTGTGTCCCGGGGCTTGTTTTCCAGGTGACGATGCCCGGAGAGCCAGTGGACATGGCATGTGGTGTGGATCACATGGTGACCCTGGCCAAGTCATTCATCTGAACCTCTTCCCAGGCCCATCCCAGTCTGGCCCCAGCCTCCGAGCCATACTGACAGCAACAGCTTGGCAGAGGGGTGTGGACACCAGCAGAGCTTCTGAGGGTATTGGAGAGGGCCAGGGCCTTTGCGGAGCAGGATGCAAGCGTCTGTGTCCTCAGTGGGGACTTTACACTAGGCAGTGTGTGGACAGGGCCCTTCCCCAGCCGAGCCTCTTGCCTTCTGAACTGAGCACAGGATGGCTACCACTGACTTGGCATGCTCCCGAGGAGTACCAGGGCATGAGGACCTTGGCTGGCCAGGCCAGTTCTCTTTCCAGGTAATACATGGTGGCATCTGGGGACTAGACTCTATTATTAGGGGAAGTTCACTCTTCATGACACATTTGATGTTAAGAGCTTGGAGACATGACAAGGCGCTCAGAAGAACTCTCCGTCCCTTGTTACAACAACACACACTTGGGCCTCTCGCTGGCCCTAGCTCAGCAAGAGAGCCCGCTGACTTCAGAAGGGCTTCTCTGATCAGCTGCCACCCCACAAAGACAGTCCAGGAGCCCAGAAGGCCTTGGCTTGAGGCTCTTCCTGTAGCGGCTGCTGTGAACCAGCCTTCTCCCAGGAGTCTACAGTACCCCAGCTTTGGAACCTCCTCACTGCCTGGTTTAACAGTCCTGAAGCCCCTGAAGAAAGAAGCTGCAGGCCAAATGTTTGTGGGCTGAGGGCTGTGGAATCTTGGCTGGAGGGCCAGCCTTGGAGTAGAAAGCCTCAGGAACTGGGAAAAATATTTGTTTTTAAGAAAGCTTGTCTTTTGCTTTCAGAACAGTGTTTGAAAAGGTCTTTTGGAATAAAGTCTATTTTCTGCTTTTTTAAAGAATGGAGGTCTTGTAAAGTTTTACTTTGAGACCATAAAAGAAGCAAATAGAAGCCAGTGGAAAACATTTTAGAAGGCAGTCCCAGTTGGGACATGTTCTCTGTGTGTGTGTGTGTTGTGTGTGGGTGTGCGCACACGAGCACGCACAGGCATTTATGTGGAAGACACAAGACAGTATAAAAAGTGTCATTGTTCCTCAGGTGCAGTCCATCTTATTAGTGAGATGGGGTATCACTTTGTAGACCAGGCTGGCTTTGAACTCGTAGAGGTCTGCTTGCCTTTGCTTCCAGAGTGCTGGGACTAAATATGTGCTTCAGCACACCCAAGCTCTACCTTATGTTTGGACACAGGCTCTCTTCCAGCCTGGAAGGGTACGCTGGTTAGGGGTCCTTGTGCCAGGCAGGATTACAGGCACATGACACTGTGTTGACCTTTTTAAAATGTTTTTTATTTTTACTTTTTCAAGACAGGGTTTCCCTGTGTAGCCCTTGACTGTCCTGGACTCACTTTATAGACCAGGCTGGCCTCAAATTCACAGAGATCCACCTGCCCCCTGCCTCCCAGCGTGCTGGGATCACAGGTGTGCACCGCCAGGCCTGGCTCTTGCCTTTTTGCTCTGGGGATTGAACTCAGGTGGTCGTCTTCTCAGCTACAACCCTTTACCCCGAGTCATCTCCCTAGCCCTTTGAAAGACTTTTCTGAACAGATATTCTTTGGCTGGGAAGACAGCTCGCACCTGAGTCACTAATTATGATCTCCCACACTACCTGCTCCACCCCACTCCTGTTACTGGTTCACTCTGCCAGGGACTTGTGAGCCCCTTCACTTCGGGTATAGGACACACTGAGTCACGTGGGTAGGAGAATCCCTGCTTCGTGTAGCTTATCCCTGGTGATGAAAATGGACAAGAAAGAAAATACAACAGAGTGTGGTGGCTGCTTGTGTGGGCGGTGGAGGAAAGCGAAGTTTCACCCAAGATACCTGACAGCTTAAAAGAGGAAGGGCTTATTGTGTGCTTTCAGAGGGCTCCAGTCCCGGTATGGCGGGGAAGGCATGGCAGAGTTCATGGTGACAGGCGCTTGAGGATGCCTCTCACATGGTGGCAATTCAGGAAGTGCAGCAGGAGTTCGGGGCTGCAGTTCCACCGGGAAAGGACACCAGCAGCGACCAGCTTCTGTTTTCCAGGCCACACCTACTTAAGAAATTCTGGTGTCCCAGAACAGTGCCATCTGCTGTGGACCATCTATACATTCAGTACACAAGCCTGTGGGGGACATTTCAAATTCAACCCTAAAATGGACAGAGGAAATGATATGTGTTGGAAGGTTGGGGGGTGGGGTAAAGCTGAGGGGTCAACAAGTAGGCAGTCACAGGAACCAGTTGGCTGGTGTTGGAGAGAATGGCTGTTTTGGCAGCTACAGGGCCCCTCACCCAGGCTGATGCTGACCCTGACTCTGTAAGGACTAGTCTTAGGCTTACAGCAGGGAAGTTTGCTGTGACCTTGAACTAGAAGAAGGGCTGAGGACCTGGAGAGACTGCTTAATAGTTAAAAACAGTTACTGCTCTTCCAGAGGACCTGTGTTCAGTTTCTACAGCAGGGAGTTTACTCATGTCTGGAACTCCAGCTCCAGGGAAGCTGGAGAGATGGCTTAGAGCAGTGGCTGCTCTTCCAGAGGACCCAGGTTCAATTCCCAGCCCTCACATGGTGGCTCACAAGTGGATCTGTCCACTTGTCCACAAGGGGATCTGTCCCCCTCTTCAGGCTTCCAAAAGCATCCTCCCATCACCATATGCATAGGAGTAAAAATGTTCTTAATTTAAAAAGTCTTTAGAAAAAAAAGGGGGCTGGGAATGTAGCTGTGCTAGAGCCCTTGGTTAGCAGCCACGAAGCCCAAACCCAGGGCCCTGGGTCTGATTCGTAGCACTTCATAAACAGAATGTGGTTCAACTCAGTAACTCCCAGGAACTCCGGCAGTGGTATGGAGGCAGGAGGATCCAAAGCTCAAGGTCATCCTTGGCCACAGCTCAGTTTTAGGCCAGCCTAGGGGCACACGAGACCCTGTCTCAATGAACTAAAAAGCCAAACAAAGCACCTTGACCTTAGTCACCTGTGTACAAAAAGGGGTGTCGTTATCCTTGAAGCCTGTTTGACCTGTTGCTCAGCCTGGCCACGCAGCTTATCTGTGCCCTTCGAATGTGAGCATGGCTTCTGTACAGTCCTTAGCACCGCCTCTCCCAGTATTGGACACCTGGAAACCCTGCTAAGCCACCATCTCAGCTGCTCATTCGGCTCCAGCGAGGGCTCTGTGTATGAGCTCTGTACTGCTTTCGTGAGCATGCGAAGCAAGCAGGGTGAAGCGAGTCACCGCCTCTTCCTAGGTGTCCTCTTGTCATCCTTTGTCTTAAAAATTTATTTTTATGTGTATATGTGTTTTGCATGTACGTATGTCTGTGCACCATCTGTGCGTAATGGCCACTGAAGCCAGAAGGTGGCATAAGATCTTCCAAAACTGGAGTTAGAGCAAGCTGTGAGCCACCATTAAGTGCTAGGAACTGAACCTGTCTCATCTGCAAAAAAAAAGAAAGTTTTTTTTTTTTATTAAGATTTATTTATTATTTATATAACATTCTGCCTGCACACCAGATCTTAACTATAGATGGTTGTGAACCACCATGTGGTTGCTGGGAATTGAACTCAGCACCTTTGGAAGAACAGCAAGTGTTCTTAACCTCTGAGACATATCTCCAGCCCCAAAGCAAGGGCTCTTTAACCTAAAATATCTTTCTAGCCCAATGTTAATTAAAAAAATTAAGATTTTATGTGTATGCTTGCATGTATGAGCACATGTGTGCAGTACCTACAGAGGTCAGAAGAGGGCATCAGATCTCAGAACAGGAGTTCTAGATGGTCCTAGGCCACACATGGGGGTGGGGGTGGGGTCAGACTGGACTGAGATGTCTAGGTTTGCAAACACATTCCTGGCTGTGTCTAGGATCCTGTGTACAGAAGCATTTAGATCATGAAGGCTTTGACCTAGTCAGTGGATCTATGACTGGATGGACTGATTCACCCTTTAATGGCATTACAGGGAGGTGGGGAAAGGTGACAGGTGCCTGATAGAAGGAGCAGGTCACTGAAGATTCTGCCTTGGTCTCTTCTGTGTTCTCATCTCTTCTTCCTGGATGCTGTGAACAGTCTTTTCTCTACAAATTCTCCTTAGGACAAATCATTCTTCCTTTTAGCTTTTATTTATTTCATGCCTATGGCTGTTTTGCTACATGTATGTCTGTGTACCACATGGGGACACAGAAGACGTCGTCAGATTCCCTGGGGCTGGAGTTACAGATGCTTGTGAATCACCGTGGTGTGTGCTGGGAATTGAACCCAGGTGTTTGGAGAACCTGCTTAAGAGCCAGCGTTCTTCACCGTTGAGTCACCTCCCCAGCCCTTTTTATTTGAGGTCTCACTGTGTAGCTGAGGCTAGCCTGGAACCCTCCATCACCCTGCCCAAGCCTCCCGAGTGCTGGGATGCAGATATAGATCATTTTAAGACACTGTTTTGGGGCAACTTCTTACACAGCCTCAGTAGCTGGGATAACCCTTCTCACTCTGGGCAGTTTTTTAGACTCAAGGCGTTACACCTGAGGGTTATCCTGCTTCTGCTGGCCATGACCTAAGTTCTCTCGTTCTCTCGAACAGAATGTGGAAAGTGGGGAAAACCACGAGACGTGATCCTGGATAAGTCAACATAAAAATCAGACAGCTATCAGTCAACACCATCTTTTCCCCTTCATTTAATGAACACTTTACAAAGTACAAAATATACTGTCTTTTTTTAGGGGGAACATTAGGTACTTTTTTCCCTCTCCATCATACAGTACACAACTCTCAAGGGTTTTGTTTCTTTGACAAGGAAAACGAACGCACAGGGGCCCTGGAGGTGGAGCAGACAACGGTCCTCCTTTTCACCCACGCTGCAGGACTGATGAAGTACCACTGTTGCTGGTGACCTGGGCACGACATGCCAGGTGAGGGTCAGCTGGGGCTCTGGGCAGGGCACCCACACCTGCCCCCTGCCTCAGGATAACGGAAATGATTTTGGCATACAAAAGGAGGGCTGGGGGAACTACGCTGCACTTTCGGCTCCCTATTCTTTTGGGGCTGACCCTGCTCTAACTTCCTGTGATACAGGTAGACTGAGGCAGTAGGAAGGAAACCATGCTAGGCTCAGCCCACGGAGACCTGAATTGTGCCCATTGCTGCAGTCTCTAGCTTTGTGGACCCTTTCCCAAGAAGGGTTCCTCGTAAGCAAGAAGCACCTCTTGTGCCCAGCGCCTCTCCCTTCGAACACTGTCTTTAGAACTGAATGGGCTGAAGAGTCCCACGGGTGGGCCTGGGCCAGCTCAGGCTGCCTGCATGGACTCCCCGGGCCTCTGAGGAGCAGAGTCTTGGGGATGCAGAGAATGGGGGAAGGCGCCTATCCCACCAGGGCAACCCCACACTCCACCCCGGAGCCGGGGCCTGCGTCCCTTTCTGGTTAACTCTGGCCATGGGTTAGGCGAAGGGCCAAACACTGCACAGAGCAGCTCGCAGCTCTGAGACACATACACACTCATGCCTAATATACATGTACACACACACACACGTAAATAAACAGCACCCTGACACACGGACGCGGCCAGCCTGTGCTTTTGACTCTCCCAGCTTCTCTCCTCTTCTACCAAGCGCCACAAGCCACCAACACCAAACTGATGTCCACGAGCTCCATGGCCTAGGCCTCGGGCCTCTATTGGTGCCTTCAGCAACAGCCCAGCATCTCCCTTCCCCCGTTGAGTAGCCTTGGGGGAGGGTGGAGTTCAAGCTAGGGTCACCCTGGGGTCAGTTAAATGTGTCCTTTTGCTGCTTCTGATTAGAAAATGGATACGAAAAAGGTAGCTGGGATGAACTCTGAAATGTAAGAGAAGGTTAGGACTACTAAGTTAGCTCCAGCCCTCCACAACAGCCCCACACAGCAGAGCAAGGCTGACCGGCTCTGGGCTATCTCGGCCTCACTTTCCTCTGGATGTCAGAAGGGAGGTCTTCCACCCTCCTAGGCTGTACTCTAACCCTCAGCGCAGTGCTCATCACTTGAAAACCCAAAGCTGTATCCTGTCCCTGTTAAGAGCTCAGTATCTCCATTCCGGCTCCCTCCCACCAAGCCAAGCGCTGACATCCTCTACGGTTCCCCAGTTCTGCTCCCAGAAAAAAAACAGATGTTGGCGAGGGGTGTCCTGTGCTGGATAACAGGCACCTCGCCAGGATCTAGAACCACCTAGAAGGCAAACCTCTGAGTTGGTCTGTCAGAGACTGGATTAGTTGAGGTGCGCAGGCCTACTGTGGGCTAGGCTCCTGTCCTGAATGAAAAGGAGAAAGCCAACTGAGCACCAGCACGCCTCTCCCTGCTTCCTGACCAGGCGCAATATGACCGTCTCCTCACACTCCTGCTGCTATGCCTTCCCCGGCTTGGTGGACTGTCCCGTCAAACTCAAGAGTCAAAATAGACCCTTTCTCCCTTCAGCTCCCTTTGTCAGCTGCCTCACCCATATCGTCCCCACATCCAATCCAGAGGCTCGGGCTGCTGGCCCAGGGCTGGCTGGGGACTTTGAAAGGCCAGCCTGGGGAATGTGCCTGGGAGGGCTTGGTGGCAGGTGGCTCAGACCTTTGAAGATGATGTACCAGACAAAAGGCGGCGGGGGTGGGGGGCATGTGTGTGGTGTGTGCCGCTTGTGCTTAGGGGCTAGCTCCTTTCCACCTGCCCGAATAGCTTTCCACTTGCGCAGTTCCTTGCATCATGGGGGGCCACCTCACCAGCCTAAGCAGGTGGCTTCAGCAATGGCTGATGGGCACAGACAGAACCAGGTCCACGGATCTGTCCCAGCGCACCAGGAACCCGTCACCTGCAGGGACAGGGTGACTGCTGATGCGGGGAGGCTCAGGGAAGGGGTTCCCCTGGCGGCGGGGCCGCATGCCTCTATGGGTGTGTGGGGCGGGTCTTTAGAGACCCAGTGGGGAAAACATACAGTCGCCCATGCTGCTGGGGAGTGGGGGAGAAGCAACTTCTTGGGAAGCAGGTGGGCCTCAAGTTGTGCGGCTGAGCCAAAGGGGTGGGCTGAGGGTGGGGTGGCATTTGTCAGTGAGGACACTGGATGGTCTTTTTAGTCTGTGCAGTTGATATTTAACTTTTTTTTTTTTGAGACCCTTCTCAGCTCAGGCTAGCCTTAACTTATGATCTGTCTGCTACCATCTCCTGAGTGCTGGGAACTGAACCCAGGGCTTCATGAATGGTAGGCGAGCCGACTATCTGCTGAGCCACAGCCCAGGGTGCGCTTTTCTGATTAGGGTGCCTTTCAGGCAGACGCACACACCTCTGGAGTTCATGACTTGCCCTGCCCGGGGTGGGGGTGGGGCTAAGTTTCCATAAACTTTACCTTCCTAACAGCCAGTTCGTTCTCTTACCCTCCCCGTGAGCCAAGAGCGACTCTGTGCTGCTAGGAGCTGAGAGAGCCCTGACTGATGACCAGCATGCTGCTAGAGGCTGGGTCAGCCAGAGGGTGTGTGAGAAGTCACCCTCACATAACCAGGAGGGGGGAGACAGCACTAAAAACACAAGAGTGGAGGGCCTGGGGGCTGTCATGCCCTGCAGAGCTGTAGAGACCTTGTCATGCCAGTGCTACCCAGGACCCACTGTCCCTTGAAGGCTGGCAGGCAGAACCCAGGCCCCAGCTTCTCTCCGAAAACACAGTTGGGGGAATATGTATGGTTCAGGGTCCTGTGGGGTCAGTCCTAGGAAGAGAACCTGAGATTCCTAAGCTTGCAGGAATAAAACAAAGTAAAAAATAAATCAGCTGGTGTGACGGCACACACCTTTAATCCCAGCACTTGGGAGGCAGAGGCAGGCAGATTTCTAGAAGTTCAAGGCCAGCCTGGTCTACATAGGGAATTCCAGGACAGCCAGAGCTATGCAAAGAGATCCTGCCTTAAGAGAACAAATAACACAACAACAGCAAAAGTCGGCTAAGATGCGAAGGGACTCTGGGAGGGAGGCTGAAACACAAGGGGTTTACCAAAGTTTGCAGAGTGGCCCTGAGGGAGAGAACCACTGTTAAAATGTAAGCGAAAACATCCCGATCCCCTCAGATAAAGCAAGGGCATCCGAGCTCTAGGCTGTGGAAATGGGGGTGCAGCAGCTACGAAGCAGGCCACACTGGCCCTCACGGGCTGCCCCACACGCAGGAGGCTGTTGGTTCTGTCTCCCCTCCAGGCTGGCCTCAAGGACCCCAAGGCTTTTCCAATCATCGTATTGCCTACATGTTTGAATTAAAAATATAAGGTGGCTCAAAATGTCCCAGTGTGTGTGCACATGAGGCGGGGCCCTTGCCTGTGTCCTGCGCACACAGAATATATTAACATATATATTGCTCAAGTATATATGCTATTTACAGAATATATCTCTATCAACATAAAACACGTATTTATAGGTGTGTACAATACAGTCTTATCCTAGCAAGTCTAGGGGGCCACAGAACTATGGGCAGGGGGCATGGCGCCAGCACACTTACATGGTGGGGAGGGATAACTGGAAAGCGAGACAGAAGGGGCTATGAAGAGGTGCGCCCTGGACAATCAAGGCCTTCCAGGGAGAGAGAAAGGAGACTCCGGGGCCGCACTATGGCCCTGCCCACTCGGCCATTTCCCTTTTGGGACCAGAAAACAATTGATAAGATTTGGTTGTTGTAAGGATTTTGTGCAAAAGGAATTAATACCCCCCAAGCCCAAACCAAACCCACCAAAATCAACCAGAGGTGATTTTGACTAGCATGACCGGTTCTGAGCTTCCACATGGTTTTAGAATCCTTCCTCCACCTGAGTGTACTTCTGCGGCCCAGAGAAGAAAGGAGCACAGCTCACACAAGACCTGTGAAGGGGTGAGTAAACATTCCCTCCTCTGACCTTGTTGGAGACAGTGCAAGACCGGCCTGAGAAGAACCCCAAGAGTGAGAAGTCTGACGGAGTCCCAGCTAATGGCGCCGCTCTCAGTTGTGATACGCTGGGATGCCTTACAGGGATGCTAATGGGGTCCTGGTGTCCAGAGCTCTGCAACCCAGAGCCCTCCTCAGAAGGCAAGGCCAAGATCCTTAAGATCCATGTTCGCCTTCGTGTCTGTGCCCAAAGACACGGTGCAAAGTGCCAGTGGACCCTTGCGCACCCTGCTAAGACTCCAACAGGCCCCACCTCCTCCAAACACAATGCTCCTTCCCCAGCTGCCTGTAGGCACAAACAATGAGTAAGCAAACTGCAACCGTGATTCTTCTCTACGGATGCCTAGCCCAGCCGCCTCCCAGCTATCACCATGGCCACTGACTGCTGCTGGCTGTGATTTCCAGCAGGTATTTGACCTGGGGCCTCTTTGTCCCCTGAAAGTGGGGAAGAGAGAAAATGAAGGGGAGACAACTCCCAGCTGGTCTAAGTGACAGCTGGGGAGGTGGACACAGCTCAAGGCACCCTAGGCCTGGGCTGGTGGGGGTGCCCACTGCCGGAAGAAAACTGAGTCTTTGTTTGCCCATGTTGGGTCCGGGGAGAGCGAAAAGAGAAGAGATAGAAGCTGGTGCTCTAGGCTGGTGGGAGAGAGGTGTCCTGGGATTCCTTCCTCCTCCAGGGACAAGTGCTGGGTGGGAGGTTGGTCCAGGGCCCCTCTTGGCAGTCATAGTGGGAATCAGAACAGGCCCTGTGTAGTCGGCAGGTAGGGTTCTAGGATATTGTCTCCCCACCCCCCCAGCTTGGGGGTAGGGAGCCCACTGCTACTGTCTGAGAATCACTGGCCATTATGACCTGAGGGCAGCCTGCTGGCCTCCATTCTGAGGGAACCAGCCCCGAAGCCTCTGAAAATAGAGCAGCCACCATTCCATTGATCCTGGGGGTGGGGCCTCATGGGGGCTTCCCCAGCTCTGTATACCCAACCTTGCGCCAGCAACATCCTAAGATGTCCCGAGGTCTCGTGGGAGGCGACAGCTTCCTTTGGTGTTTGCTGTGGGCTGTATGTGAGGCCGTGGGCTGTTCCCAAGCCTCCTGGGCCTCACAGACCACTTTCTGGGCTGGAACATTGGGGAGGAAGATGGGCACGTCTCCACTGGGGGGAAACGGAGTCATTATTGAAAAGGCTAGGGACTCTGGAAGGCAGGAGGTGGATGAGGGATGGCCTTGGTTTAGGCCCCGGCCTGGAGGATTCAGGAATCGGGGAGTGTCCCAGAGGCCCTGTCCTTAGGGTCCCAGGGCCGATCTTTCAAGTCCTTAGGGAAATACTGCAAGAATAACCTTCGTTAGGGAAAGGCCCAGGTGGGCTGTGGCAGGGAGGAGCCCAGAGATGAGCCTTTTCTAATGCTTCCCTCCTTGACTGACCTTCAGGGCATGGATAACCCCACTAATATTCTCTTCTGGAACCTGCAAGCAGGAAACACAGGGAAAAACAAGTGCATTAGTCCAGGTACCTGTTCCCTACTCACCCTGCCTCTTTCCGGGGGCCACTTACCAATGCATGATCGAACTTGAAAGTACTGATGTAGTATGCTGGGATGTCTGCGGCTGCCAAGGGCTCGGAGATCTGGGCTACAATACCACACTCATCTAGGGAAATATGGGTGCTTAGAGTCTAGGCAGGTGCTCTACCACTGAGCCACACCCCAGCCCCTCACTGGGGGATTCTAGGCAGGTGCTCTACCACTGAGCCGCACCCCAGCCCCTCACTGGGGGATTCTAGGCAGGTGCTCTACCACTGAGCCACACTCCAGCCCCTCACTGGAGGATTCTAGACAAACACTGTACTGTTAAGTCTCCCTCCCAGCCCCACTGCATGAATTTTTCAGTTGTGGGGAAAATAAAGGCCTTCTGGTGAAGTCCACTCATTGGTCTCCTGAGGCCTTCGTATAGTTGTCACCAGCAAGGGATCTGTCAGAATGGGGGCCTTGGCCTGCTTTACCATTGATCTCCTTGTTTATGCAGTGGGTGGAGCTGGCCAGGTCCCCTGGGCTCATGCATAGACCCCTGCACACACACGCTAGACCCTACAGGCTCACCAAATCCCAAAGGCTGTCCTCCTATCCGCACCATCTTCCACAGCTCTCCAGACGCGCTCGTGAATAGCAGATGACTCGGGAACCTTTAGAGGGAGTAAGAAGGATTTGAGGCTGCTGCTAACTGGTGCTTTCCTCAGCTCCGGGGAGCCTTCTCTGCTTTATGGGAGCATTATAGGGCCAGAGTGACTGAATGGCTATCTCTCAGGTGGGACAGCACAGGATTCAAGGACATGGCAGTGCCACGAGGGGCAGGAAGGGCAGCCAATGCTGGGGTGAGACCCTGGGGACAGATGGCATTGAGACGGTGGCTCCCATCTCCACTTTGGCCCCTCTTGCTGTGGACCTTGGATGACGCCTGCACCTGTAGGAACATCTCCAGTGAAGGAAATAGGGCAGACCGATCGGGAAGAAAGTGTGTGCTCTCACCCAGTCCCCCGCTAACCTCCACACAGGACCCCTACCTACCTCTGCTGGGTTTGTACGTCCATCACCAGTGAGATGTAGCCCTCAATAAGAGAGAAGGAGAAGAAGCGGATGTGGCCACAGTCATCACTGGCGGCCATGGGGTCCTTCACTCTGGGGATCAAGATGGAGCTGTGAGAATGGGGCTCCCGCCACATCCTTCATGCTATCTGCCACCCCCCAGTCTGGCAGGAGAGGCTGGTCTTGCCTGTGCCTTGCCTCCATCAAAAGCCTATCTAGCCCAAGGAACTCAGGAAGTCATAGACCCTGAATGCTACTACAATACCGACTTGCTAGGCAAGATGTATCCACTGGTGCCATAGTAGCATGATGGTTATTGGTGTAACCAACGACTTTCTGCTTAAAACTAGGATGAGCTTCACAAGAGGGAATTCATGCCTGGGACTGTAAACCTGGTCAAAAGCTGTGGCTTGGGAGGTCACAGCCCCTGGGGAAAATCCTCTTGTTACTTAGCCTTCTAAATATTTCTGTCCTACTCCTGCTAATTAGTGCTGCATTAGTGTGGAGAGAGTAGCATCTCTCTGCACCAGGCAGCACTTAATGCAGACACTCATCTGGACAAAGCGTGGAGACTGACGGTTGAGTTCTCAGCCCTAAGTGAGACATCTTGTATCAACCCCCAACCCCATCACCCACGTTAGAAAAACACGAAGGGGTAGAAAGAATGTAAGAGTTGACAGGCACATCACGGCTCCCCCTTCAGACCGGGTTCCTGAGTAGAACGGTCCCTCTCCATGTAGACTGGATTCCTTGGTGGAACCATGCCTCCTCCCTTAGACTTGCTTCTTAGGCAGGCCTTCGTGTCCCCCTTCCCCCTCAGGGTCCTGGGCAGAATGCGCCTCCTCCCTCAGACTGTTTTTTATGGGTAGAGTCAGGCCTCCTGGGTGGAGCAGTATCTTCATGTCTGCCCCCACTCCAGCACCTCACCGCAGGGACCTACCCGTTGGAGTAGAACATCACATCCATGAGGAGAGTGGCGACAGCCGGCAGCGTGTCAGGGTCCAGGCTTGTGACACAGAACCTGTTGCTTGGACTGGACAGTGGGTGGATGACTGGCCTCTGGACTGAAAGAGCACAGGACACAAGATTTAAGGCCAGAGTAGAACTTTTCGTGTGAAGGAGCTGGTTCAGCCCCAGACCTTGTTCAGAGCAGCCCATGCGGCTCTCCCACCCCCCAGCACACAAACTGCACTGACTCTTAAGTTTCCCTTCAGGACCCTGGGGGCTCTGTACAAGTGGCTCTGGAAGCAACGATGTCCTTCCCAACAGCACCCACTGGCTTAGCTCCTTTGCTCTAAGCCTCTATTCCATGGTCTCTGCCAGAGGAACACCAACACCATGAGCTGGGTTGAGACAGGAGCCACTTTTGGCCAGTTCCTGCCCGCTGCACCTGAAAACCAGTGAACACCAGGTGGACTCCGAGAGCAGGGCCTTCTGCTGGGGACGCTTCCCTCAATCCCAACTCACCCATCTTGGGCTTCACAAAGCCATTGGTGATGCTGAGATTCTCAGCCGCCACCGTTTCTCCATTGACAACCCGAAGGATGGTGAACTCGGAGGACAAGGTGTGAGTGACAAAGGGCAGGTCACGCTCACGCACCTGAGGATGGAAAGTGGAGTCTGAGTCCCAGCTCATCCCGCTTTAGCACACAGGGCTGAGGTGAGGAGCAGAGCAGCAGACGGGACAGGATAACGCGTCTGCTAGAAGCAGCAGCGTGTGTGTGACACTGAGAGGGCGCAGCCAGTCACCACAGCCATGACTCACCAGGATGAAGTCGGTCTGATAGGTAGACAACATAAACACGGAGATGTTCTGGTCAGCCAGTGGAGCGATGACAGACTTGGCGATCTTCGTAACACCGATGGGCTGGGAGCTGGAGAAGCTGCCGCCACCAGACACCACATTCAGCGCCAGCCAGGTGGCATCAGCCACGCTCAGGTGCTCGGAAGAGGGCAGCTCTGCAAGGGGCGGGCGACACGGATGATAGTTTCGGTGACTTGCGTGGGGCCTGGGTGTTCCCAGGCCAGACCAGGCCATGCTTGAGAGGTAGGCAGAGATGTAAGGATGGCTGATGTCTTAGAGACTGTCTTGTCTGTCTCTGCGCCTCAGTTTCCTCACTTAAAAAATATTTTTATTTATGTGCATGTGTGTGCCTTTGTGTGGGTATGTGCACGTGAATGTAATTGCTGAGGAGGCCACAAGAGGGCATGGGATGCCCCCTGGAACTGGAGTTACAAATGTTTGTAAGCCACCAGACATCGGTGCTGGGGACCAAACACAAGTCCTCTGGAAAGCAGCAAGTACATTTAACTATCTCCAGCCTCCAGTGTCCTCATTTAGTTAACAGGATGGCTCAAAGGTGCTTTCTAGGGAAGGCTGAGCAGGTGACATCCCGGACGGCTTATAGTATGCTGGGTAACTCAATGGGGCCTAAAGCACCTGCCAAGTTGTTCTGTCTGTGTCCAGCCTCAGTTTCCTCTGTTGTAAAGCAGAGTTGGTAATGTCTTAGTGAACTCTTAGTTTTTTTTTTTTTTAAATATATTTTATTACTCTATTTTATGTGCATGTTGTCTCCTTTTTTGTCTGTGTGCCACATGCGTCCCTGGTGCCTGTAGAGGCCACAAAAGGGCATTAGATCCACTGGAACTGGTGTCAGGGATGGTTGTAAACCACTACTGGGTGTCAGATTAATCCCAGGGTCCTCTTAACTACTGAACTACCTCTTCAGCCCTGAATTCCTAAGTCTTCTGTTGGTTTGTTTGTTTGTTTTAATAAAAATTTTAAAAACTTTCCTTTTTAATTTTTTTGTGTGTATATGAATAGTTTGCCTGCATTTATGCCTATATACCACACTCATTCTTAATGCCCTTGGAGGCTAGGAGAGAGGCTCTCATGGGCTGGAGTTACTTAGAAACGGGTGTGAGCCACCATGTGGGTGCTGAGAATGGAGCCCAGGTCTTCTGTAAGAGCAGCCAGTGCTCTTAACTGCTGAGTAATCTCTCCAGCCCCAAGATTTATTCTCATTCTGTGTGTGTGTTCATGTGCACATGTAAATGCAGTGATGTTGTGGATATAAACATGTTCTTGTTTTAATCCCAGGTGTGGGATGTGGGACTGAATCAGATAGCCCACAGCAGCTTTGTGCGGGCTGAGAGGAGCTCCTTGCAAGCTGCAGACAGTTGAAATCTTAGGACTCTGGAGAGAATACATGCCAGAGTCCAGAAAGTGTTGAGGAGCTCCAAGAAAGAACAACGCTGTTGCTGCTGCTGCTTTCCCCCTGGGACTCCTGGTTGCTGTTGATGCAGTGAGACAAGAAGCTGGAGATCTCCTGAAAGGAGGATTGGACTGGTTCCAAGGAACCAAACAACCCTAACCAGCAGGAAGTAGCTAAGAGAACTGTGGCCCACTCTCTCTCACTAACCCTTTCTCTCTCCTACCTAGTTTTGGGATGTTGGAAGGGACTGGGGTGGAGTAGGGAGAAAGATATATAAGAAATGTAAATAAAAGTCTTTTAAAAAAGTATGCCAACACAGTTGCCCTTGGAGGCCAGAAGAGGGCATCTGATTCCCTGGAACTGGAGCCATAAAATGGTTGTGAGCCGCATGCCGGGAACCAAAGTTGGGTTGTTTGCAACAACAGCAAGCGCCCTTAACTACTGAGCCATCTTTCCAGCCCCTTATTTATTATTATCACATGTATGTATGTGTACATGATGCGTTTGAGTGGGTGTATATGGCAGGGTGTGGACGTACAGGTCAGAGGATAACTGGAGTTGGTTTTCTCCTATTCGATGTGACTGAACTCAGGTCACTAGACCTGTACAGAAAGCAAAACTACCCACACAGTCAGCTCACCACCCCACTTTTTATTTGAGACAAGGTTTCATGTATCCCAGGCTGGCCTTAAACTAGCTATGTAGCTGAGGATCCCTGTCTCCACCCCCTGATCATTGGGATGACGGGCATCAGACCACTACATCAGGTTTATGCAGTGTTGGGTGTGGAACCCAGGGCTCTATGCATGCCAGGCTAGGATCTACCAACTGAGCTCCACCCCATGAGTTCCTATTTCTCTCAACCTTTGTCCCATCCATGAGAGACAGTCTCCAAGGAATCCCGGGCATGAGATACAGGCACCCAAAAGTCAGGGAGCTATGTTTCTAAACAGAAGCATTCCCTCCTGGAGATAGGCTCTGGAAAAACCAGGAAGCCAACAAAACTTACAAGGCTCTGGGCATGGTGGCACCAACCTTTAACCACAGCATTCAGGAGGCAGAGGCAGGTAGGATCTCTATGAGCTCAAGTCCAGCCTCATCTACAGCCAATACTTAGTGAAGACTATGTCTCACCAAGCCAAATCAAACAAACAGAGTAACCAAACCCCTAATGTCACAGGGCTCAGGAAGATCCTGAAGCTTACAAGCCTCACAGAGCCCCTGATACAGTCGCTGGGAGAAGGAGACTCTGGAGGAGCTGTCTTCAGGTTGTGCAGGGAGCTGCAGGGATGCAGGTTTCATGAGTCATCACCCATGCTGGTGAGGACTTTTGGTGATCCTGCTGCCTTTGACTCATCCATGTTCCTGTAAGTAAACTTACAGATCCCCAATAAACTTACAGGCTCAATAAGCTAGACTTGGGTGGAATCTTCTTGGGTCTGCTGTTGGTGCCCTATCTGGGGTGAAGAGATGTTTGTTTATGTCTCCCCAGGAAATGTCACACAGCACCATTTATACAGTACCTCCACGGATATAAGCCCAGAGATTCCTATTAGATTCTTCATAAAATCTCACGCTCCTGCTAAGACCCCCTGGCCCCATTCCTGGCACGGAGTAGGACAGAGATATGGGAAGAAGTGGACTATGAAGCTATGCACACCACAGGGACCCTGTAGAGGAAGCACAGCTGTCCACTCCACACAGATGTTTGGAAGGGACTAGCAATTTACCCAATTTCTCTAGATTGGGAGCAACCAAACCAAGACTCAAAGACAAAAGCAGGTGTAGTATGGTGGCGTGCACCTGTCATACCAGCTCCTTGGGAGACTGAGGCAGAGGAAGCTTGAATTCCAAGCTAGCCTGGGCTACATGGTGAGCTTGCATTCCAACCCTCCCAAAACAAACATCGACAAAAATGGGCTGAGGACATGCAGTGCTTGGCAGAATGCCTCTGGTATCCACAACCAGCCCCAGTACCATATAAAACCAGATGTGGTGGTGTAGGCCTGTGGTCCTAGCACCTGGGAAGTGGAGGCAGAGGATCAGGAGTTTAAGGTCATCCTTGATGCTACTAGATTGAGATATATGGGATAATGCTTCAAAAAAAAATTTTTTTTTTAAACCAAATAAGCAAAAAAGAAGATTCAAAATATCTAGGCTCCAAACATTCAAAATATCTAGAGTCTCCAAAGAGATGGGGTTGGAAGCACTGTTAAGAGACAAGGACAGGGGCACGGCTGGGCCAGGCTCCAAAAAGGATGGCTTGGGAGGAGGGGATGCTGACTGAAGTCCATCAGAATCCTATCTGCCTAGCTCAGTCGCCATGGTGACCATAGCCTGGAGAAGCCCATTGGTCCTGCTGACTCAGAAGGGCCTGTGGTCAGCCAGGTAGTAATGGAGAGGCAGGCCGCTTCACAGGAAAGAGAAAAGAGAAGCGACCAGCGCAGGGTTAATCCCGGAGCCCTGAGCTTCTTGGACTACCTGCGGCCCAGGTGGCAGGCTTTGTCCTTTCTACCTGTCTCTCCAGGAACACCTTGCCCTGTCTCAGTTCTTTTCTGTGTGTACCCGTGTGCATCCATGTGCGTGAGAGGTCTAGTTGGTGTCTTTCTTAATTGCTCACATCTTTTTTTTTTAAGTTCTTACCGTGTGTATATGTACTTATGCAGGCCTGTGTGCCACGATATACATGTGGCGGTCAGAACAACTTGTGGGAGTCAGTCTTCTCCTTCCACATGTCATTGTGGGGATGGAACTCAGGTTGTTAGGCGTCCTTACCCACCGAGCAATCAAGTCCCTGTGTTTTTGAGACAGGGTCTCTCACTGAACCAGACTGGCTGGAGAGGGAGCATCACAAATCCTCCTGCCTCTGTAAACTCTAGTTCTGGTTACAAGCACATAACATGCCCAGTTTCTTTTTTCTTTCCTTCTTCCCTCCCTCCCTCCCTTCCTCCCTCCTTCCCTCCCTCTCTCCCTTCCCTCTTTCCTTCCTATGGGTTCAGGGAATATGAACTCAGTTCTTCCTACTTGCTTGGCAAGCACTTTATGAACTGGTCCGTTTCCTAGCCTCTTGTTTTTAGAATTCTAAGGATCCCAAACTTCCTAACAGAAAGGACTTCTTAGGGGGTGGCATCTGATGCCCTTATTGTCTCCCAGGAGCCTGGGTACCCTGAATTCCAGCTTTGTGAAGTGGTCCCCCTTTGTTCCTGGTGTCGACTCCACCTCCTGATGGCGGCAAGTCAGGAAGCTCAGGTGGAAGTTACTGGGCAGTCACACAACGATGAAGTAGATAACGCCTCAGGTGTCTGGAGCACAACTTAAGCTATTTTTTTTTTTTTTTTTATGATTCTGGTAGGGTCAGAGGCATACATGTTCAGTGGTTAATGTTTTCTGTATCAGTGTGACAATGTCATCAGACCTATTTATATATTTTTATTTTTAAAAACTATGTATTTCTAGGTCTTTAATCTCAGCACTCAGGGAGGCAGAGGCAGGCAGATCTCTATGAGTTTGAGGCCAGCCTGGTCTACAAAGTGAGTTCAGGACAGCCAAGGCTACACAGAGAAACCCTGCTTCGAAAAACCAAAACCCAAACCCAACCCAATTAACCAAACCAAACAAAACACAAAAAAACAGAACCCCAATCAAACTGAATGTATGTATGTATGTATGTATTGTATGTATTGTATGTTCATGTGTGTGCAAGTGCCTATGGAGGCCAGAAGAGGGAGTCGGATCCCTGGGAGCTGGAGTTACTGTGAGCTGCCTGAAACGGAGACTGAAAACTGACCTCAGATCAATTCTGCAATAGTAAGTGCTCTTAAGTCCTGAGGCATTTTTCCAGTCTAAAGGTCTCATGTAGCCCAGGCTAGCCTTGAGTTTACTTTGTTGACTGACGGCTGGTTCGTCCTCTGTAAAATGTATACTTAACTTTAAGCCTGTGGACCACTAGAATTAGATTTCAAGGTTCCTGCTGAAGCTGTTGATGTGGTGAGGAGACCCTCCTGCCTTAGTGGCAACTATCACTTCTATCAAAAGTTTGCTTTTTTGTTTTTGGAATGACAGCTATCACTAGAGTATGTTTTTTCATTGAGGAAGCTCAGGAGTAGCAGGTGAAGCAATTCCAAGATCCAAGTCATGATTTTATACTCTTGTTGAGGATGGACCCCACTAGGCAGGTGCTCTACCCTTGAGCCACACCCCAGCCCTTTGAGCTTGAATACAAGGTCTTCCAATGTAACTCAGGCTAACTCTGAATTACTGATCCCCTATTTCAGTCTCTTAGATACTGAGGTACCTGTGCCTGCCCTCCTAGCTCTCGCCACAGACTTCTGAAGACTGTCACTTAAGAGTTTTCCCAGGACTGCCAACACCTGTGAGGACGTTCAAAGGCTCCCTCTGCAGGCAAGACAAGACAAGTGCATTTCCATTTGCAGACAGCCTCTGGGAAATCACTGAAAGCCAGAGACTGCGCTACGAGTGAGGCTCAGCAGTACAGCACATACCTACCATAGACACTATCAGCTCTAGAACTTCGAAACTAAATGACTAAGTAAGTCCAGTGTCGTTGTTTTTGAGACAGGGTCTGACTCTATAGCCTTGGCTGCCTTAGAACTCACTATGTAGATCAGGATGGCCTTGAACTCAGAGATCTGCTTGCTGGGATTAAAGGTGTGTGCCTGGCTCAAAAAAGCTTCTCTAACAAACAAAAGTAGGCATCAGATTTTGGTGAGGACACGTGATAACTGCTAATAGGTACAGGGCTTCATTTTGAGGTGATTGAACATTCTCGCAAGCTCACTGAGGGTCAAGGAGAGTGCTGCCCTAGCCTGCAAGAAACCCAGTGTTTTGCCAGAAGCGTGGCATAAACCAGATGTGTAATGTCAGCACTTGAAGAGAGACAGGAAAATCGGAAGTTCAAAGTCATCTTCAGCTAAGTAGAGAGTCTGAGGCCAGTCTAGGATACTTGAGACTGTCTCAAAAACAAAACTTGCTACACCTACATATCAAAAATAGTGGTTAAAAAAATTTTTTTTTTTGAGGTTTTTCTGTGTAGCCCTGGTTGTCCTGGAAATCCCTCTGTGGACCAGGCTGGCCTTGAACTCAAGAGATCCATCTGCCTCTGCCTCCAAATTATTTGGATTATGTGCTACCACTGACTGGCAAATGGTGGTTAAGTTTTGAAAAAAATTATTGTTTTATTATTTTATGTGCATGGGTGTTTGTCTGAATGTTGTCTGTGTACCATGTGTGTGCCTGGAGCTCACAGATATTAGAAGAAGGCATTATATCTTCTGGGACTGGAGTTACAGATGGTTTTGAGGCACCCATGTGGTGCTGGGAATTGAACACAGGTCCTCTGGAAGTTCAGCTTGTGCTCTATGCACTGAGCCATCTTTTTAGTCCTCAGAAGGATGAATTTTAGGATAACTGAATGATATTTAAATGAAGAAATGAAAAAAAAATAGGGCTAGAGGGATAGCTCAGTGGTTAAGAGCACTTACTGCTCTTGCAAAGGACCTGGTTTTGGTTCCCACTCCCTCATGGTAACTCACAATGGCCTGTAACTCTAGTTCCAGAGGAGCTGATGCCTTCTTCTGACCTCTTCAGTCTTCAGCATGCATGTGGTGCAATTCGTATATACAGGCACAGACACATATACATTAACTAAATAAAAATGTCTTTGTATTAAAAACATTAAAAAAAAAATGGACAAAAGATAGTCAGGCATGGGATCACATTCCTATCATCCCAGCTGCTGGGAGGAACATAAGCTTGAGGTTAGCCTGGGCTATGCTGGGAGACCCTACCTCAACAAACAAACAAACAAACAAACAAACAAACAAACAAGGACCAGTGAGATGGCCCAGTAGGTAAACATGTTTGTACCAAGGTTGATGAGCTGACTACAATCTCAGCAACCCATATGGTAGAAGATAGAACTGACTTCCACAAGTTGCCCTCTGACCTCCACACCCATGCTCTGGCACGTGTGTATACATACACAAAATAAATCAGTAAATGAAAAAAGTAAAAAAGTCATCACCAACAAAAAAATCCAAATCTCCAAACAAACAAAGGCACAAAAATCCCCAAAACAGCTTCCCTTCAAACTCTTCTTAACAACGAAAATAACAAGAAAATAGAAAAAGAAATTAGGAGGCAGGGAGGTAGCCCAGCATGGGTAGAGAAATACTTACCAAGGAAGCCCTCCTCATCTACGATGATGGTGTAGTCCTCGGGGGTCTCTGTCAGGCTGAAAAACTTGCACCTAAGTGGAAAGACACAGGAATATCTGGTCAGTTTGGGAAGGACCCTGCTGAGCCAACCCCCCAACCTCTCACTGGGAGAGATTAGACAGGCATTCTCCCACTGAGCCACAGGCCCAGCCCCTCACTGGGGAATTCTAGGCAGGTTTTGTACCAATAAGCTACAAGGTCAAGTCCCTTGTGTACTCTCTGGTATGTGGTGGTAGCTGCAAAATCAGACCTCTGTATTAAACCCGAAGAACTATCCACTAAAAAGGGTGACTTTTTTTTTTTTTTTTTGAGACAGTCTCTTGTAGCCCAGGCTGACTCCCATCTCATCCATCCATCATGCAGCAATACTGTCCTGCAACTGTCCCAATCCTTTACCTACGAAGGGCTGGGATTACAGATATGCACCACAACTAACTAGGAAAGCAACCTTTGCCCTGTGTTAAATGATACGCCACAAACCTGATCTTCAAGGGGCTGAAGGGATGGCTCTAACAGCACTCACCGCCCTTGTGGGGACTCAGGCTGGGTTCCAAGCATCCGTATCAAGTGGCTTACAACTGCCTCTAACTTCAGTTCCGGCACCAATGCCTTCTCACTTCCATGCGGCACACAGAAACTCACAGAGGCACACTCATACACACACTAAATTCACAAGTCCTGAAACCCAAACAACCGACCAACAAAGAAAATGCCTGTTTGGGGCCGGCTAGCACCCATTCCTCATCTTCTTGACTTTTTGCTTCTTCCCTTTTCATTTATTTGTGTCTGTGCACACGTGAGCAGGCTGTGGTGCACGTGCAGCTGCCAGAGGACAACTTGTGGGAGTCGGTTCTGTGTATTGAACTCAGGTTGTCAGACTTGGTGGCAGTCCCTTTCAGCCACTGAGCCATCTCGCCAGCCCTTGTTGGTTTCTCTGTCCATGTCTGCCCCACTGTCAACTTGTAACTTATTTTCCCCCTTGAAACAGGGTTTCTCTGTGTAGCCTTGGCTGTCCTGGCACTCTGTAGACCAGGCTGGCCTTGAACTCAGAGATGCACCTACCTGTGCCTCCCAGAGTGCTGGGAGCAAAGGTGTGCACCACTACGGCCTGGTCAACTGTCAACTCTAACCTACACAATATTTCACTGCCTCAAAGGACTCAAGTAAACTGTCACCTTGTAGGTGGCCATCAGTACTCCTGTGGGGTTCCTTATAGGGGCCTCAGATCCTCAGAGAACCTTAAAGCTCTCAGGTTCTGGAGGGCTGAAGCAGGTGCGTGCTGGGAGGGATGGGGCCTCCCAGCTGCCCGAGAACCTGGTCTACAGGAGAGGGCATGACACTCCAGCCACCCTCAGGGCTGTAGGGACACTCCAGAAATAGACCGGACACACTGGTCAGGAGGGCATAAACACCAGCAGAGGGCAACTAGGGCCTCTGTGGACATGAGGTATAAAAAAAGAAGTTGTTGAAGTGACATGTCCCGGGGGGCCGGCCAGCTGGTGGACATCCATCTCCATTCAGTGTGCACACAGGCTGAGAGAGGACCTTTAGGGCAGAGGGGGCAGAAGGACCTGTTGCTCTCACTGGTCACCAAGGGCTCTGCATGTGGGAGCTTCCTCAAGGGCAGCAGTTCCGGGCCTGTGGGCCTGGGGGGTCACAGCCCCTGCAGCGGCCACACGGCAGACCTCCTGCATACCAGACACTTCCATTACGATTCACGACGGTAGCCAGCCATGGTTATGAAGTAGCAATGAAAGTTCTAATGGTTGGGGGGTTATCACAGCATGAGGAACTGTATTAGAGGGGCGCAGCACTAGGAAGGCTGAGAGCCACCACCGACCATTCAGACCAGTCTCCTTTGTTTCTGTGTGTGTGTTCGAGATATCTGGATGTGTGTGCTGTCACATGTGCCCATATGTATGAGAAGCCAGCCGAGGGTGTTGGGTGTCCCCCGCTATCCTTCTCATTCTTTGTGGCAGGGTCTCCCTGTAGCTTGGAGCTCACATTATTTTGGTTAGCCTGGCAGCCAGCAAGCCCCAGGAATCTCCGCCTCTGTATCTGCAACTCCCACCATATGGCTTCTAAGACAAGGGCCACACAATACCTGGGCTCGGGGGCTCGGATCTAAACTCAGGTCCTCATGGTTGCACATAGACCCAGGATGGCTTGCAGCAGTTCCCCTGCTTCAACGCCTGATCCTTCTGCTTTAGCCTCCACAGTGACGGGTTACCAGCTTGACAACACCTGTTTTTTTTTTTTTAGGTGCCAGGGTTGAAACCCAGGGCCTTGCATGCTAAGCCACAATCCCCAACCCCTTACAGGGAAATTCTAGGCAGGCATTCTACCACACCCAGCCCCTCACTGAAGGTCTAATGCTCAGATCTAGTGCTGAGCCATACCCCAGTTTCTTTGTTTGCCCTGTCCTCACTAAGTTTGGACAAAGGAGCTCACATTCTCCTAACCTCTCCTAATGGGACTGGAGACCCAATGGATTTCCTACGTTCCTTGCTCTGCACAACAGTCCAGTCATCTCCTAAGGATACCCAACTTTCTGTCAACACGGGAAGGTAAGAACACTGGAAGTCAAACCCTTGCGTTAAGCAATTTGTGGTCCTGTGGCCATCTCCCTACATCCCAGACACTATTAATTGCAAATGACACTCCCTGGAGGGCCCCCCCCCTCGGGTGTTGCCTGAGGCTGTTGACCAGTTGCCTAGTAACTGAAGTCCCTTGCTCTCTAGGTCAATGCCACTCAAACTCCCTGTTGATGGCTGGTTCTTCTAGCTCTTTTAGCTGTCGGTTTTGGTTGTGGCCCATGTCTGACTCCATCTTTAGATGGTCTTTATTACTCTAGTGTAGACATCTCCTCCCTGAGGCTTGATCCCACCCCCTAGACCTCCAGGCCTCACCTATTTCTCCCCCTCTGGCCCTTTAAGCATTCCCATTCCCCAAGACAGGGTTTTTCTGTGTAGCCCTGGCTGTCCTGGAACTCACTCTGTAGGCCAGGCTGTCCTTGAACTCACTGAGATCCACCTGCCTCTGCCACTCGAGTGCTGGCATTAACGCCATGAGCCACTATGCCTAGCTTCCAGCTAAGCATTCTTAATTTTTATTATATAGGTATGTGCTGAGGGTCCCTCTCAAAACCTCACAACTGTGAGCAGCTTGGCCTTTAAGAATCACTTCCTTCAAAAACTGTCATTCATTTTGTGTTCTTCACCCCTGGGCCTCTTCCCCTCCCAGGGCTCAAGTTTTCTCCAATTAAAAGAATTTTATTTACAGGCTTGTTTATTTGATGTGTTTGAGTGTTTTGTGGGCACGTGTATGTGTAGCCCATGCATGCCCAGAAGCCAAGGAAGTCCGATGAGAGCATTGCTCTCCTGGGGCTGGAGTTATGGATGGATGTGAGCTGCCGAAGCAGGGCCTGAGTCCTTTCAAAGAGCAGCAAGCCTCTCCATTAAAAAAAGAAAGAAAAATATTTATTTTATTTTTAATTTTGTGTTTGTGGGGGGTCTGTGCTTGCTGAATGCAGGTGACCACAGTTACCAGTGAAGGGTGTTGGAACCCCTAAAGCTGAGTTACAGGCAGTTGTGAGCTGCCCAACATGGGTGCTGGGAAAGTAAGGTCCTCTGCCACTGCAGCAAGCACTCGGCCACCGAGCCACCTTCCAGGCTCCGTCCGCTTTTTCTCCATTCTAAAAAAGGCTTGTCCTTCATCCATATCTTTTCCTCAGGTCACAAGCCTACAGCCACTGCCAGCTGGATAGCACTTGGCTTTTCTCCACCCACTTAATCTTACCAGTGACCTCCACACTCTACATCGGATGGCAGGCGCCCTACCATCCTGCCCCTGACCTGTGATTGGGCTCCTAGCTGGCTGGCCAGAGCCTTTCCGGAAACCTTGAGTTTCCCACAGTCTCCAGTCTTCTCAGGGATGGCAACTGTCTTCTATTCTCTGCTCAGTACCCAAGGAAGTCAAACTAGAGCATCGGCTCCTGGGGCTGGGGTTATGGATGGCTGTGAACTATGATGTGGGTGCTGGAAGAAGAGCCCGAGTCTGCAGTGACTGCTCTGGAGCAGCCTCCCCACTCCTGGGGGTGGACTTGCCAGCCTTGGACTATTACTCTCTCTCTTCCATCCCCAGGCTCCTCCAGGCGCAGCTGTTCTCTCCACAACTCTTTCCCTGCCTGGTTACTGCTGTCAACTATCTGAAATGCATTAAGCTCCTTCCCACCCTCCCTCTCTCCCTTCATACCTTTACCCTTTCTCCGTTATCTTCCCTCCCTTTCTTCCTATGTAGCTGAGGCTGGTTTGCAAGTAGAGATCTTCCTGCCTCAGCCTCCAGGCCAGGCTCTTACACAAATGTCACATATCTAGCTCTCACATGAATACCACTGTTGCCTGCTTCTCAATGAACCTGGGAGGTCACTGAGCCTGCAGCAAGCCCCACTGAAGATGTCTGTGTTCCCTCACCCTTACGGGATTGACATAAGCCTGTCTTCAAAATTTACAGCAATTCTGTTTGGGCCTGGCTGGAGCCAACTACCCAGGCAAAGCCAAGGCCTAGTGCTGCCTGAATCAGGGGCCCAGGCGCTGAGTCACCTCTGAGAACATTCCTATCTTCAATCACTGTGGTGGCCTGGGTGGCTAGCCTGGCTGCCTCTGGAAATCTGATCTGTTTACTCTCTGCTTCTTCACCCAGCAGAAAGAGGCCCTCACTTAGGGCCTCTCCCCAGGGCATCCTGGGCCACAAGTCCCCAAGCCTGGGCTAGGCCACGCCCTGTTCCAGAAACACACTTGCAGCCAAAAGAGCAGATAGGGAGGGTGAGTGGGAGGCAGTATCTGATGGAGAGCCTTCTCACAGATGGATGTAGAGGATAAATGTAGCGAAGGGAAGAGATGTGTAAGTGCTCATTTAATTAGTGGCGCAGTTTATCACAAGGTCCCTGTTGAAAGCACAGAAGGCTAAGGAGATGGCTTAGTGGGTTGAAAAACCTGCACCCATGGCTGTGTGTGCCTGTAATGCTGGCATGGGGGGACAGAGGCTGGTGGATCCCAGGAGCTCTTCAGTGGGAGACCCTACTTCAGAGGGGTAAGATGGAGACTGACGGGAAGATGTCCTGAGACGCCTTCTTCATGACTGCGAGGGTGCAGAACCCGTGCATGAGTGTGCAGAACCCGTGCATGAGGGTGCAGAACCCGTGCATGAGTGTGCAGAACCCGTGCATGAGTGTGCATGCGGTATCCGCCACTCACCTTTCGACACATCACAGAAGGCTGGGTGTGCTGAGATAAACTGAGAACCTCGGCGCTCAGGAGGCTGAGGCAGGCGGGTCTCCAGCTGGAGGCCAATCTGAGCTGCACTGCAAGACCCAGTCTCAGAAAAGGAAAGGCACTTCCTGGCCTCACCCTGACAGAGGGCGGAAAGAGAGCCAGGAAAGGGGTAGGACCACAGGAGGCCGCTCTGGGTAGCCTGTTTGCATACTCCTGGGGACAGGAGGCTCACTATCCTGGCTTTTAGAAATCCTATGCAGTCAGTCTTGTTTTAGATTTAAATGCTGCTTCAAGCTCTCTACCTGACTACCTGGTAAGATCTAAACCCAACTGGTGTTAGGACAGGGATAAAGGGCTTCCCTTGTAAGTTCAAGGACCAGAGTTTGATCCCAGAACCAGTGTGAAAAAGCTTGGTGTGGTCATTCTGACCCTAATCTCAGTGGAGGCAGGGAAGCCTAGGCTTGCCGGCTAGCCAGTTGGCCTAGGTTGTTTGGTAAATTTCAAAATGGTGAGAAATTCCACCTCCAAAAACAAGGTGGACAGTGCCTGCGGAACAACAACCACAGTTAACCTCTGGCCACCATGTGTTTGTGTGTGTGTGTGTATATGTGTACACACACACATATACACACCAAGGGGCTGGGAACATAGCTCAGTTCACAGAGTGCTTGCCTAGCATGCACAAGGCCCAGTACCATATAAAACCCAGCGTGACAGTGCATGCTTGTAATCCCACCCCCTGGGAGGCTGAGGCAGGAGGAATACTGTGAGTTCAAAGCAAAGCCTGGGCTACACCATCTCAATAAGCCCCCCCCCCCCAAAACAACCACAAACACCATGGCGGCAGGCTGGGGTGTGGGGATGGTGCCCCTTCCTGAAGCCTGGGCCCTTCCCGTCACCGGAGGCCCCCAGTAAGTTGTCCAGTGAGGAGCTGTAGGTTGGTGGGAATTTACGGCCATGTCCAATGTCCCCCACATCCCTGGGGGAGAGTGCCTCGCTTCAGAGAACTGTGTTAATTTAGGGAGTGTGAGGCTGGGTGAGGCCCAGTGCATGTCCACAATTCCAGTGTCTTAACAGTTCACCGAGTCACCCTGTGTGACAGCTACACTTCACTAGGGAAGGTGAGATGCTCCCCAGGAAGCAGCTGTGGTTCTACATTCTTTTCTGTAAAGACTTAAAAAAAAAAAAAAAAGTATGTATGTGTGCCTGTGTACAAGAGTGCAGGTGCAGATGGAGGCCAGTAGAGGCACTGGACCTCCCAGAGCCGGTTATAGGACGCTGTGGGTCATTGGACTTGGGTGCTGAGCAGCAAGTGTGCTTAACTACTGAGCCATGTCTCCTGTCCCCTGTAGTTCTCAGCTCTTTCTCTTGGACCTTCTCTGGGCGGCTACTGGTCCTCTCTGCTGTGGGCAAAAAGTATTTTCTCTCTTTTTTTT